TCTGGCGTGGGCACTTTCACTGCTCTTTGGCCTGGCTGCTGTGCCCCGACAATGGCAGCCAGGCGTTGGCTTTAGTTGCTCCGGTATTTTTCCTCTCTTCCCTCCACAGCTCCCACCATCCCTTGCCATTCCTTCCTCTGGGGGCAGACTCTGGCAAAGTGCCCTGGCTGTTGGCAGAGATAGCATTTCCGGGCGCCTTTTCCCTCCTTCTTTCCACCCTCACTGGGCTTTGAAACTGCGCGCGCGCGCGCTGTTCCGATTTCCATCGGCTCTGCCGGCGGGAAAGTTGGCTCTGGAATGTCTGGAATGCGGAACTCCTTCCAACGTTCCCCTTTCCCTTCCCGCCTCTCCAATGCTCTCGCCTCCTGGCGCGCTCCTATGGCCAGCGCTGATTTGGTCAGCTGGTCCATAGACTCCGCCCTGGGCGCCCGGGAAAGTTCATCTTTCACAGCCGAAGAAAGCCCTTCTTCAAAGAGCATTTGAATGGGTTCCGCCGATAAGTCCCACCCCAATCTGTGTATCAGCATGGTGAACTCAGTCCAGTACTCACGTACAGATCGGCTCCCCTGTTTGCAAGCCATTAACTGTCTGCGCACCACTCCCTTTTCAATATCGCTGGAAAACATCAGATCCATGGCGCGAAAGAACTTCATCGTGTCCTTTAGGACGTCACTATGCGCTGCCATCAGGGGTCTAACCCAGTCTCTCGCCCCCTTTTCAAGATGCCCAATCACAAAAGCCACTCGTGATTCCTCATCAGGGAAATCATCAAACTGCAGATTGAGGGCATATTGCATTTCTGTCCGAAAGCTATGATAGTCTTTGGGCTCCCCCCCAAATTTCTGCACCAATCCTGGTACCTTTCTGGCGAGCTGGGTGGCTTTCTCCCTTTGTCTGCATCTTGAGCCCTCCTCTCCTCAAGCCTCGCCGTCTGCAGCGCCAGCTGGACCTCCAACACCCGGTACCTTTCTTCCAGGCTTGGACCCGCTCCAGCCCCTGCTTCTCCGGTTCCTGCTGGGTTGCTCATTATGCCTTCTCCTGCACAAGCTGCGTTCAATGACTGTCGGAATGCTGTGATGGGAAGATGAGCTGCTTGTGCGTAAAATCGTATTCCCTCAGAGTTTGTTCAAGTCCACAAACCTCTGTCTGTGACTGAGCCCCTCTGACATGGCTCCTCTAGTCACTAGAAGTTTCCGACAGTGGTTGCTTTCGTAATCGCTTCCAACATAAAAGCTCCTTAACGGAAACACGTCTTCTGGACTCTCTGCGTGACAGTTTCCGGCGAGGAGTGGGTGTCCCTACAGGAGGTCCGGAAACCTCACCACTGTTTTCGCTGGAAGTATCTCTGAGCCATCCCCCAGCTCCCTTTCCCTCAGTTCAGCTTCTCTCCCCTGCTGGTTTCCTCTTCAGCTGCTGAGTCTCTTCCAACCTGTCTGAGCCCTTTCACCTCCCTCAGTTCAGCTTCTCTCCCCTTGCTGGTTCCCTCTTCAGCTGCTGAGTCTCTTCCAACCTGTCTGAGTCCTTTCACCTCCCTGCCTTCCGATGGCAGTTCCCTGACAAAATGTAAACAAACAAATAAATAAATAGCTTCTGAGAACTTTTCCATTCTGTCATCCTTTCTGATTTTAACACACACACACACACACACACACACACACACACAAAATTGAATTTATATACCACCCTATACCCAGCGATCTCAAGACAGTTCACAGAACAAAATCAAAATATAAATATATGGCAGGAATAGCAATGATAGGGGGTCAGACCAAAAAGGGCATGTGACAAATTGCCTTTAAAAAATGAGTATAATGCCAGAAGTCACACAGGGTACATAGATAGCCAACAGTTCTGTCTGCAACCAGAGAGCTATGAATGCAAACTGGGCTCACAAGGGGAGGTCATTGCTTTGCAACAAGGAAGAACTTCAGCCCAAGTTTGCTGCTATGTGCAGTCTGTCTGCCAGTGCTCTTCATCCCACATTACAATATCCAAGTGGCAACTAAGTCCATCCACACAGAATGAGTTGGAAGGGCCTTTGAAGGTCACCTGGTCCAAGCCCACCTTAGGGCAGGATAGCCTAAGTGAAGCACCCTGTCTTACTCCTCCTGCACGTCTCCCACACAGGGCTTCTTATAGCCCTGAAATAAAAACCTTGTACAGTAGAATATTTTCCCATAGTGGGGAATCAGCAAAAGAGCTGGCAAAGAGTATTTCACCTCTGAGCACTTTTTAAGTCCAAGTTGCCAGAAGAATGCCTTACTTAAGCACCTTTCACGTTTGTGACACAGGAAGGAGTCAAGTGTCTACCACACAGATTATGGGCAAATAGCTACTAGCTGTGATGACTATGCTCTGTCTCCACAGGAAAGAATTCTTCTGAATACCACTAGCTAGAAACTGCAGGATGGAGAAATACTCTAGTGCTTGGCCCCTGCTTGCCAGTTCCCCACAGGCATCTAGTTGGCCACTGTGAGAACTGGATTGTGGACCAGGTGGGCCATTGGCCGGATTCAGCAGGCTGTCCTTATGTTCTTAGGATCATAGTGTTGCAATACTGAAAATCATGAGAACTTTAAATGCAGGGCGAAGGCACTGAGAAGAAGCTGGCCTTAACAGTTTATGGGGAAGTATTAAAAAACCCTGTGCAATCTGTTGCTTCTGTTGCAATCAGTATTTTCTCCCAAATACCCCTTGTGCAACTTCTAGTCGAAGTCACCATCCAATTCACCTTTTCATGTAATTGTTCCAGTAGGGCATTTGTTTTATAGAAAGCACACAACAAAGCTTCTGAATACATTGTCCTGCGAGGTCAAATGCCTGTTCCCAGGATTGTTATCTGTAACAGCTGCCGGCTCCCTGGAGTTGGTTACAGTTACACAGTCTCCCTCTAGGGGGAAAACTTCTATTTGTTCTTGCAACAAAGTTTCCCTTTTTGAGATACTTTGTCAATATTTGTTGCTTAAAGATGCGAAGGGAAGCAGTGGAATCGCTATGTTTCTCTTCTTTTAGCTATCTGTCAAAAACGCTTGTCTCTGGTCAATGAACTTCAAACGTCAGTCCTGACACCCCGCTCCAGGATCAGGACGGAGGAAAGTTACTTTACTTTAAACTCACTTTAAACAGTCCGGAAAAGATCCACCTCCTTCTCCTGCTGTCGAAGGGGGGTCCACAATTTTAAATGATGAAATCCAATCCTTTAAAGGCGATTTTCTAAGCTCTAGTTTACGTTGTCTTTGCTTTATTCTGTCTACAGAAGAACAGAAGGCTGACTTCCTGTTTAAACCTTCTCGTTCCGTACCAAATTTAAATAGGTTTTTAAAATCCAATTCCTTTCTGCTCGCAAGTCCTTATCTAATGTCCAGTTGTTCAAAGTCTAAGTACTCACGGGTGCTTATTTTAAAATCCGAATTGTCCCAGGAAAAAGGCAGCGCTCTCCGGCAACGGCTGTGCGGCTTCGCTCCACGGAAATAGCAGTTGACTCACAGCACCACGCCACTTCCCCCTCTTCACTTCGGAGCCCGTTGGTGGGTTCCTTAGCGAGTTGGGGGGGTGCTAAAGGTGCCCGCCGAGTCCCATGGTCACAGGCTTCATCCGCCTGTGATTTTTAAAAGGGTCCCCGCTTCGCCGTAGCGGAAAAGACCCGTTTCCCGCGGAGCTAGTCCCTCCTGTTCAGAGGGAGTCCGCCATTGCTGATGGCGCCACCCCGGAAGTCCGGAAGGTCGGCAGTTCAAATCCCTGCGATGGGTTGAGATCCCGTTGCTCCATCCCAGCTCCTGCCAACCTAGCAGTTTGAAAGCACACCAGCATGGGTAGATAAATAGGTACCTCTGCGGCGGAAAGGTAAATGGCATTTCCGTGCACTCTGGTTTCCATCATGGTGTCCCACTGCACCAGAAGTGGTTTAGTCATGCTGGCCACATGACCCAGAAAGCTGTCTATGGACAAACGCCGGCTCCCTTGGCCTGAAAGCGAGATGAGCGCCGCAACCCCATAGCCGCCTTTGACTGGACTTAACCATCCAGGAGTCTTTTACCTTTTACCCCACAACTGACACATTTTAAGCTGGATATTGTGGATCACAGAAGCCAATCCCAGCTTCTGTTTTGATCCCGGAATATCCCATGAAGACTAGCACCTTGGCATGAGTCAGCAAGGCTGCGTCTGACCCTGCGGATGAGCACCAGACCACCTTCTGGGATGGCTTTGGCGATCATCAAAGGGTCGTCCCAAAGCACCTCTGGGAGGCCATGCTGGCCGGGGGTGAGGAGGAGGCCAAGGCAGTGGAGGAGGAGGTTGCAGCCACAGAGGAGGAGGACAGCAAAGGTGTGGAGGAGGAGGGAGCGAGGATGTGGGCTGGGATGGGAGGGGTGGGTGTTGGTGGGCGTGAGCAGTGGGGTGGTGAGATGGTGTGGGGTATCCCAATTTGCCCTCTTAAAATGTTGGGGTCCTGCTGGTTTCACATGATTCAAAATCACATTATAAGGGATTATTATTATGACCAGAATGTAATTGAAACTAATGAGATTTTGGAATGCAGAAATAAAGAAAATCATCAAACCATCAAATCTAGCACACGGGGGGGGGGGGCACTTTATCTAAATTATACGATTTGGCATTTGAACGATTAGTAATTGTATTATAAATTGGTATTGTTATAATGAGGCTATTATTGGAGTGTAATTGAAAACTAATAGAATTTATTATAAAAAAACATTCATCCCATTCTGCTTCTTGAAGGCTTTGCCAGCATCAGAAACTGCAGAAACTGGCTGCTGGATTGATCCCAAAAGGAGGCAAAAAGAATAATTATGCAAGATAGAATGAGCCTCATAGAAAGTGGAGAGAGAGAAGTTTTTCTCCCTCTCTCATAACACCAGAACTCCACGGAAACATCCATGGAAGCTGAACATTGGAAAATTCAGGAGAAAACAAAGTTCGTCTTCATCCAGCGCATGGTTAAAGTATGGCGCTCTTGCGCCCAGGAGGCAGTGATGATTCCCCACTTGGATGGCTTCAAAAGAGGGTGAGAAAGGTTTCTGGGGGAGAGGGCTATTGAGAGCTACTAGCCATGAGGTCTGTGCTTTGCCTCCTTCTGAGTCACTGGAGACTGCAGGCGGGCAGAGAGCTCTTGTGAGTTTTCCTCAGGCATCTGGGTGGCCCCTGTAAGAACAGGGTGCTGGACTCCTTATGCCCATGGCCTGACCCAGCCGGGCTATTCTGATGTTCTTATATTCTTATGAAGCTCAGTTTAATAAACAGTCCTCATGGTGAACCAGACAGGAATTCAGGACAAAGGAGAGGCAGGGAAGGAAATCCCATCCCTTCTGGTTCTGGCTTCCTGGTTGACTTCAAATCAACTACTACAATAACAATTGCAGGAAATCAGTTCCAATTCCAGAAATCCAGGAAATTTAGTAGCACCTGCTGACAATAGGTCTGTATAAGGAAATTTGGCACCACCTAAAAACATTAGTGAGAGCTGGAGCATCAAGAAGGCTGATTGCCGAAGAATTGATGCTTTTGAATTATGGTGCTGGAGGAGACTCTTGAAAGTCTCATGGACTGCAAGAAGATCAAGCCTCTCCATTCTGAAGGAAATCAGCCCTGAGTGCTCACTGGAAGGACAGATCGTGAAGCTGAGGCTCCAATACTTTGGCCACCTCATGAGAAGAGAAGACTCCCTGGAAAAGACCCTGATGTTGGGAAAGTTGGAGGGCACAAGGAGAAGGGGACGACAGGACGAGATGGTTGGATAGTGTTCTCGAATCTACCAGCATGAGTTTGACCAAACTGCGGGAGGCAGTGGAAGGCAGGAGTGCCTGGCGTGCTCTGGTCCATGGGGTCACGAAGACTCGGACATGACTAAACGACTAAACAACAACAACCAAAACATTATGGTTGCTTAGAAAGTTGAGGTACATAATTATAATCTGCTTTAATATTTTTACTTTTGTATGTTTTAAATTAGTGTTGTATTTTTTCTGATTTTATTGCTTTATCTTTTTGTATACTGCTCTGAGGGTTTTACATTAAAGTGGTGTGTGAATCTTATGATTCCCAGGTTTGGGGAGGCAGAAACAGGGACTCTGCTGTGCATGAGTAGGTTAGGTTTGTCACTTTCAAAAAATTAGTGAATTCTTACTGCATGGTGCTACTTAGCCATTTTTCATGGAGCAGATTTTGGGCACCTAAACGCTTGCCAACTTTTGTGAGACCTTGCACTGGCTGCCTCTAAAACATTAAGATCTTTCATTGCTTTTAAAATCTCATTGTCTTTTGCATTCCTCCCTGAAGAGGCTCCATAAAATTATAGAAACCAATGCTCTTTTCAACTTTCTCCAGGCATTTTCTTTTGCTGTAATACCTTCCTTCCGATAGCATTTTCTCTAAAGCAAGCTTGTCACTTGTTAGTCTCAAACTCAGCAATCGCCAAGTTGCCAACTGGCACCGGGACTTCAGCAGCTGCTTCTCCTTCTGCACCTGGAGGGTGGTCACATTCCCCACTGGCAGGTTCTGCACTTACTTTGTGGGATTGATTTTAAATCATGCTAAAAATTCTTTTACACTTCGTGCCCAAGAATGCCTTCAGCCCCTGAGAGGGTTGCACTGTTCTCTGAAGCAAGGCAGAAGATCTTGGGCAAATGAAACCATCTCTAGATTCAGGCTGGGGGTGATATTTTTTTTAAAAAATGATATTTATTAAAATTTCAAAAAAAAATACAGGAATTACACAAAAACAAAAAGTAAAAATACAAAAAAATACAAAATACAACAAGAAGAAAAAAAAACCCCTTATTAAGATATAACAAAGCAATGAAAAATAAAAAGAAACAAACAAAATAAAAACAGTTAAAAACACATTAATTTTCCATAACATATCTTCCTTACACTTATTTCCCCGGACCTCCTCATACCTCCCTTTTTTGTATTCCAGTTCAGTTTGTTAGTTCAGCAAATCCTTACCATTAAGCTTTTACCCATTTATAAAACTTTTTTCATATCTCTTAAAGCATTACAGCTGGAAACCACTTAGTTTCTATCCAACATCCTTCTAAGATTCATTAATTTTACAATACTTCTGTAAATAGTCTTTAAATTTCTTCCAGTCTTCTTTCACCGACTCTTCTCCCTGGTCTCGGATTCTGCCAGTCATTTCTGCCAATTCCATGTAGTCGATCACCTTCATCTGCCATTCTTCCAGAGTGGGTAACAGGCTGGGGGGTGATATTAAAGGCTGGGTGGGGCTGGAGTAAGAAACTGTTGACTAGGAACTGTTTGCTGCCAGTAACGAGGAGGTGGGGGAGGGGGAGGAAGAGGAGATGAACAGCAGGGACCAGTCACTTTGAAAACTCTTAGAATTGATTCTTCCAGAAGGTAAAAAGAATTCTACAAATGTATTGGGGGAGGGAGAAATATTGGGAGGGGGAGGAAAGGGAGAGGGTGAGATGGGGAGGGAGATTGGGGAAAGGAGAAGGAGAGGAGGAAGGGGGGGAGGGTTTTGGACTGAAGAAAAAACATTTCTAAAATAATATAAGCAGTGCTCTTTTTCTAAAAAATTTTTTTAGGGGTATTCTCATTTTGACTCAAGAAAATCTATAGAAAATTTATTGTTGAAATCAAGAAAAATAAATACAGTAACTGGAAAGGACAGAGAAGACTTATTCCAAAAGGTAGCTTTTAATTTCCTTAAAAAAGGACACCCAGAGGGGAAAACACAAATCCACAGACCAAAATCTGTGGTTCTGCCAAAAAAGAAAAAAGAGAAAAAAAAGAAATGAACTGATTATTAAGGACCACAGAAATTTTTTTTTTTTTTAAATCCAGAAAAGAAGGGGAATTTAGGTCTTTCCAAAAGCCTTCCTGCATCCAAAAATAAATGGTAAAACAGAGGGTGCCAACAACCAGATATCGACAGATACTTTCAATTGGGGTGGGAAGAAGAGAGAGAAAAATTTATGAAATAAGAAAAGGAGAGGGCAGCCTTTTCTTTTCCTAGATTCAGGTAGGTAGGTGTGTTGGTCTGATGCAGTCGGAATAAATAAATAAAATGTCCAGTAGCACCTTAGAGACCAACTAAGTAAGTTCTGGGTATTACATTTGCATGCACACGAAAGCTTATACTATGGGTCGGCAAACTAAGGCCCGCGGTCTGGATCAGGCCCAATTGCCTTCTGGATCTGGCCCACGGACAGTTTGGGAAAGGGCGTGGGGATTCTCATTGTTCGGGTTGTGCCATTCCCCCCCCCGCGCGCCATCCCCCCCTCTTACACGCACCACGGCGGTGCCTCCTCCCTTCTCCTACTAGCTTCTCCCCGCCCTGCCTAGAGGAGAAAGGGGGCTGGGCTTTGTTGGATCAGTGTGAGCGCTCGAGAGGCCGCCATTTTAAGCAGCCCTTCTCCAGAGCCCTTATTTCATGCACTGCTCATCGTCTCTCCACCACCACCAGCCCCTGCTGCTCACAATGCACAGGTAAGCTGTGTCCTTTATAAAAAACTGCATCTTTGTGGGGTCTTTGTGGGGCCTGCCTGGCATGCTGTGTCCTTTTATTTAAAATGGGAGGAGGACTACTTGCCCCCCCCACAATGTGCATAGGAATTCGCGTCCCCCCCCCAAAAAACCCCAAATATAGTCCGGGCCTCCACAAGGTCTGAGGAACAGTGGACTGGCCCCCAGCTGAAAAAGTTTGCTAACCCCTGGCTTATACCCAAAACATACTTAGTTGCCCTCTAATGTGCTACTGGACAATTTATTTTATTTTCCTAACATTCATTGGGGCGGGGTAGAGAGAGAGAGATTGGAGGAAAGCCATGAAAGCAGCCGAGAAAGGGAAGGAGGAAAGGAGTGAGAAATGTTTTGGGTCTGGAAGCACGAGGAAACCCAGGATCTCAGGAATCAATGAAAGATCAGCCTGGGGAACGGGCGCAGGCAGTGCCAGATTTATGTATAAGCTAAACAAGCTCTAGCTTAGGGGCCCACTCTCTTGGCCCCCCCCCAACAAAATTTAAAGAAAAAAACCTTGGATGTTCATTTCCAAAACAAGATAAAAAACAAATAAAATAAAACCTACACACAGCACAACAGTGTTTTGTGTCGTGTAGGCTCCTAGGATGTGAGTAATGGGTCCTGCCTGCTAGCCTGCTCCCTGCCGCCACCGCCGCTTCCTTCCCCTCTTTCCCAGGAACATTTAGATTCACAAAATGTTTAGGGGTACGGGTACTCCTGCGTGGCCCCAGAAAAAAAAGCACTAAATATAAGGCTGGCTTTGTTTGATTGGGGGAACTGCTAGAATACATCTGGGCGTCATGAGGGAGGAGAGGGGGAGAACATTCCCTTGGGCAAGGAGAAATCCTTGTCCTGACAGAACATTCTCCTAGCACTGCTAGGAACACAACCCAAAGTTCTCACCCCCTCATTCAATATAATAGGGAATCTAAAAATGGCTATACTGTTGTTCAGGCTTCAGAGAAAAGTGGAAGAAATTTGCAGAAATATGAGCCTCTCTGGATTAAGCCTGCCAAATTTTAGGCAGATCCGTTCAGAGGTTTTTGTGCTGGACACCTTAATTAAAGTGGGTCAGACCTCACCTGGAGTACTGTGTCCATTTCTGGGCACCACAGTTTAAGGAGGATATTGACAAGCTGGAACGTGTCAAGAGGAGAGCGTCATTTTCTAATAAGGCTTGGAAACCAAGCTTTATGAGGAGGAGCAGCTGGGTAGGAGGAGACTGGGGGAAATATAATACAATAGCCATCTTCAACTATCTCAAGGGCTCCTCCCTTTTGCATTTACTCAACGCCTTTGTTTCATCAAGTAGATGTAGAAACATTACTGTAATCATTTAGACTAAAAAGAAGCAATATTTCATTTGTGAATTTTCCAGCTCTATAAATTAGTATATGAAAGACCACCATTAGGGCTTTTTTTGGGGGTGGGGACTATACTAATATGGAAGCAAAAGTGACCTTTTATAGATTTCAAGAAGAGATAATTCATTTCTCCTCTGTAATTTTCTCTCCACAGAGGAATCTTGGGACATTGATGTCATGGTGAAAATTGATGTTGTGGTGAATTTTTGTGTGGCAAAAGCACAGAATTGGTACTTCAGACTCTGAAGAGGCACTGGTAATAAAAGGAGTCAGGAAGATAACACAGGGAAGTAGAATACATATTAAGTACAGCTTGGCTGGACAAAGTATCCGATTAAAGCACACGATTAAGTAGTATTTTAAAAGGGTGTTTTCTCACCACATTACGTAGCCCAAACTGTGCGTGAATCTGTAATCCAGTGATCTGCTTTAAACATATCTCAAGAAACTGCAAAACTCTGTGTAACTAGCGCTGAGTAGCATTTACTGTGAGGTCTGTGGATCCTGGGAGAAAGAAAAGATGGGTTCCTCTGAAACTGAAATGACAGAGCAAAGGCCCCCTATGATTCAAGATGCAGTTAAGAACAGGAAAAGTAATGGAAATACCAAACAAGCAAGAGTTAAGCAAAAACAACAACAAGAACAAGAACAACAAGAACAAGAACAACAAGAACAACAAGAACAACAACAAGAACAACAACAACAACAACAACAACAACAACAACAACATGAAGCAAGAGTCTCTCTGAAACTGAGCCATTCTCTATATGGTAAGTGAGTCTGATGAGAGAGGCATGAGTTTGTCTCCACCTACTGTCAGAAAAGTTACCGATTTGCTGCTGGGATGAGAGCTGTAAAATGTAGGCCAGCTAATCAAATTCATGGAGACTCTAGTTTATTCAGGCAATTAAAAGCAGTTGGAGAACCCCTGTTTGACTGACTTCATAACTTTGCGTTATGCAACACTTTTTGGAACGTATCATTCAGAACATCTTTTAGGTTCCTCTTTCTTTCAGGAACCCAATCTGGCCAAACATGTGTTGACATTAACTGAAATATATATATATATGCTGAAAGCAGACACTCAGAGCTGCATATTGCTGATGAACCACTTTGCTGCCTAGTCCTTACATTTGGACCTGGTTTTCTTTAACTGTCAGTTATACCATCCTCACCATATAATTGTCGTTATATCCTTTATTGCATTAGCCGAGTGGCCATAGCATGATATACATTGAAATAACAACATAAAATGGGGGTGGGGAGGTAGAGGTAGACATCGTCCTGGGCGAATACTTAAAGAAAGTGAAAAAAAAAACAAAAAAAAAAAGCTGCTGAGGCTGGAGGAGGACCGTTAAAGGGTCCTTCAGCTCCTCAGATTAGTCCTAACTCGATTGTCCTTGTACAATAAGGCTACTTGGAACTTCGTTCGGTTGTGCGGCGTATCGACTGCATCTGTGGTGTTAAGGAAGAAGTTAGTGCCGCTTTCCTCTTCATCACACTAAGCAGGAAATTAGCTGTCATCTCAGTAATCCAACAATCAGAATCCTGCAAAAAGAGGGACACTATCCAAGGCTGGATTGGGAGATGGAACTTATTCACGAGGGAGTTAAAAACCGAGATCTTTCATCTGTCCAGTTGGGACAGAAGAGCATTACATGTTCCATAGTCTCCAGGGCCGTGTCATTACAGGAGCATGTTCTGTTTGCGATGGGAACTCTGGAATAACGACCCGACAGAACTGCTGTAGGAAAACAGTTGAGACGGGCACAGGTAAAAGCCCTTCGCTTAGTCTCCGAAGAAATTGTGAAGCAGTATAGAGGGATCCCTTCAGGGGGTGGAATAGCTAGGGCTAGGCCTGAACACGGTCCTCTTGCACAAGAAGCTGTGTTGGAGAAGTCAAGTTGCTGTAGTTTCTTTTTAATTAGGGGTAGGGCCACCGGGCTGATACACTCTAAGTTAAGAACAGTTTTACAATTCAGATTGAGAAGAGAGCGGAATTTGAGGTTAATTGTAGTTTTCCAAGGGGAGTTATGAATATCTCTTAGGATCAGATTGGAAAAGCCACCTCTAATTCGAGCATCCGATGCTAATAGGTGGAGGGTGTAGGAAATGGCTCGGCTCCATGCTCGTCTAGCAATTGAAGGCTGGGCGAACTCGAGTCGTAGGGCTGCACCTGAGACACATCTCGGGACGCCGGAAAGAGATCTCAGAAACATATGAAGTGGACGATCCAGGTTACCTGATATTGCTGTAGTCCATACTTCACATCCATATAATAATTTAGGGACGACTTTGGCATTAAATATTTGAATTGCTGCTGGAAGGTGTTTGCCGCCCTTCTGGTGGTAAAATCGGACAATGGCGTTAGAGGTCGTGGTTGCAGCGAGAAAGGCAGATTGTAGATGGGTGGTCCAGGAGAGATTATAGGTGAATATTAATCCTAAATATTTAAAGGCTTTTACCTTTTCTAAGTAGCCACCTGTGATCTTAAGCGGCTCCATCTTGAGTTTGCGGGAGCGAGTGAAGTGGAGGACTTTCGATTTTTATAATTAATATTAAGAGCTTCCGCCTTACAATAGGCGATAAATGCATTAACTGCATTTGCTAGATCCGCAGCTGTTCTGGATAAGATGACGGCATCATCAGCATAGAAAAGGGAAGCAACGGGGTGGCCTGCTAAGTGAGGAGGATACTTAGATGCTAGCTTCAAAGTGGAAATTGCATCATGAAGATAGAGATTAAACAGTAAAGGGGCCAAGAGGCAACCTTGTCGGACGCCCTTGGCCGTTGGAAATGGAGTAGTGGGGAGCCGTTTGGACTAGTTCGGACGCGAGCTGTGGTGTTTGAATAAAGGGAGATAATTAGGGAGAGAAGGTGCGGATCAATTCCCAGATGGGCAAGTTTGGACCATAATCTCTGCCTAGGAATGGAATCAAAGGCGGCCTCCAGGTCCATGAAAGCGGCAAATAGGTGGCCTTGCCTTGGAGCAGTGTATTTACTGGCAAGGTGAAAGAGAGTTAGACAATGGTCCATGGTTGACGCTGACTTTCGGAAACCAATCTGTTCTAGCGGTAGAATGTTCCTCTCCTGGACCCATGAGAGAAGTTCCTCCAGTAAAACAGCGGCAAATATTTTCCCTGGATGGATAATAAGCTGATGGGGCGATAGTTCCTAGGGATGTTTGGCTGGCCGCCTTTGAAGATCGGAACTATTATAGCTTCTCTCCAGGAGTCGGGGATGTCTAGGGCGGAGGAGATAGCGGTGAATACAGGAGTCAGGTGTTCGCTCCACCAAAGAGGATCAGTCAGGAAAAGGTCCAACGGGACCATGTCTGGGCCGGGGCCTTATTCCTTTGCATTGACATTATGATGTTGAAAATGCGAGTTGAAGTAAAGTTTATTGAAGAAGTGGGACTAAGAGAGCAGGAACTGAGGTCCAATGGGGATTGGAGGAGATCTGTAAGATGGTTTGGAGAAGCGAAACTAGTTGAATAATAAGCAATCCATTCATCCGCGGAAATCTGGGTAGCTGGATTGAATGGTGCCGAAGGTCTAACTAGGCGCCAGAAGGAGCGGGAGTCATGCCTCTCTACAGCCGAACGAAGAGTGGACCAAGCCTCAAAGATGTACTGCTGTTTCTTGCAATGAATCATGTTTCTATATGTCCTTTTAATATCTATGAGCTTTGCACGGGTTTGGGGGTCGTTGGAAGATTTGATGATTCTGACCATTTTCCTAATTCGCCTTCTTAGGGCTTTACATTCCTTGTCAAACCAGGGCGATTCAGAGAAGAGGCGTTGGTAAGTAGGCGAGGTGGTGGTTATGTAAGTTGTTGAGAAAGCATCAAGTAATTTCCGGTATTGGTCAGCGGGCAGGATTGGATCAGAGGGAACTGCAGACATATCAAATGATTTTTGTATGTCCAGGGCAAGAGAGGAGCTGAGGCTTGTCCATTTCTTTGTTTTGTATACAGGGTGGCTTTGTACCATGGTTCTATAGTTTGAGGAGACTGGGAGTGGCTCTATTAGGTTTAACATTAGAGTCAATGGAAGGTGGTCACCACCAAAATATTCAGCCACTTCCATTTTTGTAGAAATTGAGAATAGCTCCGGCGTCAATAAAATGTAGTCGACAACACTGGTTCCCGGGAAGTGATGCACGTTAATTGCTGCGAGGACAAGGGAGTAATGTTACCATTTGCGATGCAGAGATCGTTTTCCATGGCCAGTTGGGCCATCAGCCTCCCCGACGCGTTTGTTATAGGCTCAAGAGAGCATCTGTTTCCCCGGGGGGCTGCAGGGGATTGTCCAGGAGTGCTGCGGGAGATATTATATCATCGTCGTTGGGACCTATTCTTGCATTAAAGTCGCCTAAGAGGATTTGAGGGAGTCCTGGGTTAGTTGTTTGGAGATCATGGAGCCAAGACGAAAGTTCAGACCACCTTTCATTGCGGTCGAAATCATTAATTGCTGGGGGCAGATATACTGTAGTTATCAACCATGGGCTTTTGGTCTTTGGGAGATGAATCTTTATGGTGAGAAAGTAAGGGGAAGATTTAATTTCCTCGCAAATAGTGAGGGGTAAGCTGGTTGAAATAAGACAGGCGAGGCCAACTGGGGGCGACCCCTGTTGGTTAGTTTACGAGCACAGGAGCTAAAGGAGCAATAATTTGGGAGAACAATACTTTGTTGGGACCAGGTCTCTTGGAGGCATACAATGTCGAAAGAAGAGATGAAATTCATTGCTTCAGGATCCATTTGCTTTGTCGCCCAGCCGTTAACATTCCAGGAGACAATTTTAAGGCTCTGGGGTAGGTTGGGTGCGTCTTTCAAGGAAACAACTGCTTTTGCTTGATTTGTGAGTGAGGGTTGAGTCTGTTCGTATCTAATGATATCGGATTTCCGCGGAGATAGGGAGCCGGCTGGTGTTTGTCTCTGGTCTAATCTTTGTCAATTATTTCCCAAGGTGCTTTTAGGGATTACTTTTTATGAGCCGGCCCATTGCTCTCCATACATGGCAAACTAGCCAAATGTTCTATAGTTTCGGCTGTTAACTGTTGAATACTGACATTAGTGGTCACCGGGCCTTTGAAGTGTGTTATCTCTTTCCGTAGGTGTTTTTCCGGAACCTGATTGTGGCCTAATTCCGCCTCATCTAGATACCTCAGCTTGTCCCAAGAGCCTGGTGAATTCACCTTCGGGATGGTTCTCTTTATTGGAGGTGGTGTAGTGTTCTCTTCAGTGTGCTGGGCTTCCTTAATTGGGAGTAAATTAATCTCAGCCATTGTCTGAAGGTAACATGGCCGACAGGCCGCTGGGTTTGGTTCTTGTGTAGGGTTCAAATTATAGGAAGTCTGGTCCTTTTTAAGGGCGTCCATATTGATTTCCTTGTTTGTATCTCTCCCAGCCAGCTTAATTCTTAGCATATCCAATCTTTCTAATATTTCAGCTTGTATTGGAGATGGAAAATGGCGAAATTGCCTAATTAAGGTATTTTCTTCCGCGGAAAAAAGATCCTCATCTTCATTCTCTTGAAGTTGCAGGTCTTGCAGGTGGGCATCTTTCCTTTTTAATTTTTGAAGCTCTCGTTTCTGGAGACCAGGCCGGGTTTTGGGAGGTTGTTTCTCCTTACTAGGGTTTGCGTGCTTGGCTTCCAGAAGGGGATTCGGTGGTGCCTTGTTTTCAAAAAATCTGAGAATTTTTATCTGGGCCTTTAAGAATGTATATCTTGATCTGTAGATAAACTTGGCCAGGTTCTGGTCTCTAAATGTGATCATTGCTCTCATTGAACAACCATCATGATGCAAATAATCTACAGAAATAATGTCATATGGCTTTACTGCTCCTGGCAATATATCATTCAGAACGTTCAAGGAGCTCATTCTTCGTTCTTTCCCTGTAAGGAAGCCCTTTGATTTTGGGAAGTTTGTAAATACTAATATTGAGGGATTTAAAATCAGGTTCCAACATCTTGCCTGAATAAAGGTTTGCCCATCTTGTATAGTGTTGTCATCGCGATTGGGCATTGCATCGTCCCCATTTCCCGATTTGCTAAGCGGTTTGCTGCCTTCATTGTTAGGGACCACTTCTCCCCCAGAATCTGGTTCGCTGAGTGAACTGTTACCAGAACTCTGGGACGTTGCTTCCGTCCTCCCACTTAGTTCTGAATTCTGGTTCAGAGATGCCACCTTAGCCATTAGCTTTGGCGATGGCTTCTTTTCCCCTTCCTGCCATTCTCTTTTTATCTCGTGCAGCAGATTTATTTGAGTCCAATGGGAGTAGATTAAATAATTTCTGCCATTGTTTATGTCGGCTTATCTTTATTTTCCTTGTTGTTTTAATGTTCTTAGTTTTCTTTTCCCGGACTTTTGATCTATTTTTTGCAATTTCTTGGTTGTTACTGCTTGTCTCATCTTCACTAGTTCATCTGGGTTATGCACAAGTTCATCTGGTTTATGCACTTGGGGTGCATCGGTTGCTGTTGTCTCTTTTGGTTGGGGAATAAAATTTTCCACAAGGGTCAGCAATAACCCATTTGTTATTGTCAAGTAATTTTTATGTTGGAAAGGTCTATATTTATATCTTGGAAATGGGCCTGAAGATGGCCATCACTCAGTTCAGTTTGAGTATATTTGGAAGTGGGCGCCTGGTCTTGGTGGCATGTTGTTAATTCTGCCAGGGGCCGCTGGTTATAGGTGACAGAAATATTTTCCACAGGTTTCTCAGCTAGAACTAGCTCTTGCGCCAGGCTTCTTGGGGAATTTGTGTTTCCAGAGTTGTGTTGAAGCTCTTTGAAGTAATGTGACCGGTCAAGGTAAGTAAGGGGGAGAGGAGTGACTTCGTCAATAATTGGTTCAATTGGTTCAATTTGTTCACTCATGCATTCCTCCCTCTTGGAGAAGTAATTTATAATTTTACTTTGTCTCTTTCCAGGTCCCGGGGGGCTAAGTGGCGTATCTGGCAAGATACCCAACTCCTTACACAACTTTCTAGTGAGGACCATGTTGGATAGTTGTCTTCCTATTAGAAAACCAGTTGTCCCCCAGTGTTTCTGCCTAATTAGCAGGGCCAATGGATGAGTAGGGATGAATCTGCAGCTTTCTCCTGCTTAGCTCATCAGCGAGCGCTGGCTCTCAGTATGTTTCCCTGGTGGAGCCCTCTCCTTTCCAGTGACGGGGAATCCCTTCACGGCAGGGGAGTCAACCGGACCTCTTCCCTTCCCCACTCACTCGTCTCAGAAGATTATTCAGCTCCTCAGCACCAAATGCACAGCGGGGGGTGCGGCAAGGCAGCAAGGCTGAAGCACGAAGCAGGTAATAAAACAATAAAGCAATAAAAGCCCAGAGGGGTTAAAAGAAACTACTTAGAACTACTTGAAACTTAGTCTAAAAACAATAAAACAATAAAAACCCAGAGGGGGGTTAAAATAACTACTTAAAACTACTTAAAACTACTTAAAACTTAATCTAAAGGCAGACGCCTTTACTAAGCCGCTACCTTCGTCGCCATTTTGCCGCAGATCTTAGTACATCTGCTAATCCTGGTCCGTAAACTACGAACTGCTAGTTTGACTTATTTGGGTGAGGCAAGCTTGAAAATTCACTATCCTGTATTGAATGAATAAAGCTTCTTCTAGCACAGGAAAGTGTTCTTTGGTTGAACAATTCATTTTAATGCATTTTGTTTTGCACATTAATGGATCTACCTGTGATGTGTTGGAACCAACCCTATGTTATACAGAAATGTGCAAGAGCTTAAACTGTATCCCCTTAATGGTTTGTTTTACAATCAAGATTAAAATGGTTTCAGGTTATTCGCTTGAGGTTGCTACGATGCGTGAACAAAATATCCCATTCTGTTTCTACATAGGACAGAGATTTCCTGTCACTTCCTTGCTGCCAGCAACAAAAACTTTCAACTTCTTTTTTGATGGCAGTTCAGATGCTCTAAAAGGGATGGGTAACTTGTGACCTTTGAGATGTTGTTGGACTACAATTCCCATTACCTGTGACCACTGGCGATGATGACTGGGGCTGATGGGAGTTAGAGTCCAGCAACATCTGGGGGGCTGCTGGTTACTCACCCCTGCTCCAAAGCCCTGTGTACACAGCAGAGACACATCAGGCATCTTCACCTCTGACTTCCAGGTATCTCTTGGAGACCTCTTCTTATGCCAGCAAGCCTATACAGCTGTTTAAAATGTTGATTTTCCAGTTATATTAATTTTTCTTTTTTCTTTTTTTTTCTTTTTCTACTGGTGATTTTTGTTTTATTGTATACCTTATTGGCCCAAATGTAAGCTACACCTGAATATAAGCCACACCTTTAAAATTAAGGGGGGGGGGGGAGAGAAAAAATGCTCGCTCCAAGCCCATTTTTGTAAGGTCACGAATATAAGCTGCACTTCACGGTCAGAATTTCACGGTCAGAATTTGGAAAAAAAAGAGAGGCTTATATTCAGGCCTATACGGTAAACATTATTGTGCATTACCTTGATAGTTTAGGAGATGGTGGCATGTGAATACTTTTTAATAAAATAAATAACTGGTGACTCACCAGTCATGCGCAGAGGCCTATCAGTTGGCTGACTTTGTGGTGGGAGGCACCAAACCAATGAGCTTCATGATGCCACAGGTGAACTTGGTTCATCTCATACTCTTCCAACATCCCACTGACCAAAATTGGGACGTTTCTTTTTTTGGTCGCCAGCTGACTTGCACTACAAGTCAGACTCAGACCAAAAAATGGGACATTCCGGGATGCAATCAGGAGCCAGGATTGGCTTCTGTAATTCCAAGATGTCCCGCATAAATCAGGACTGTTGAGTGGTATGACATCTTGGTGTGATGCAACCTTGAACTCACACCTTCAATGTGGGTGGACGACCCAAGCCTGGGTAGACTTGGAATCCCCAGATACTTTGGAGTTTCTAGAAGGACTTGTCCGGCATCTTGCTGAAACCAAGGACACATTAACACTTTATTTCCCTCTGCAGGTTTGAGCAATAATGGAGAAAAGAAACTCGCTTTTAATGTAAAAAAAGTGAGCTTGGTGCTTAATGTCATTCTGATCATTTCCATCATCATCAGCAGCAGCATTGCTTTATCAAGTAAGTGAAGAGCCATTTTGCTGTAACGTCTGCCAGGTTATCAACAGGCCACATGCTCTCACAGATCTTCTCTCCTCGGCAGCTAGAATAGCTTTATTCAGTTGAGGTAGCCTGGAAGCAGTTGTGGATAGGGGCCCACATTCAGGCAAGGTAGACTTCATGTACTGTAATAATAGACCAATATGCACAAACAATATACACACAAAATACGCACACAATTTCAAGTGATTCAAATTGTACGATACAGTTCTAATCAAAGGCCTATCTCAGGGAGAGTCAGCTAGACCTTGGCTGTGTATTTCATGGATAGTCGATTGAGGTCGACTATCTATGGTTGAGCCACAAGAGAAGCTGCTCTATGTCCTGCAACCTCCTGAGTTTTTGGACAGAGATGGGCACTGGGCTGTCTGCCCTCCCTTCTACCCTCATTTCCCCACCCTTATCCAGCCCCACCTGGAGATGATGGGGGTTGATCGGAGACCTGCACACAGTTTTTGTGTGTGGTGTATTTGCAATTATGTTGTTATACTGTATTTTTATGCGATTGTCCTTATGATGCTTGAGATGTGTTCCCATTTTCTTTGTTGCAAGCTGCTTTGAGCAGGATTCCTTTTGTGGAAAGGCAGCACATAGATATAATGTTGGTGAGTGGAGGACATTGCCTGACCTGACATTGCCTGGGGGCAGATGTTATAGGCGAAGGGGATCGAGATACGGATATGCTCGTACCCCTTCCAATCTGCGCCCCATCCCGAGGGACGAGGGTAGGGTGAGCAAGGATTACTCACCTCCGTCACTGGTGTTGTGCAATGCCAGGTCTATAGGCAACAAAACCGCCACTCTGCGAGATTTCTTTACCTCGCAGGGGGTTGACCTGGCTTGTGTGACGGAGACCTGGGTACGCGAAGGGGCAACAGTTACCTTACGAGAGATGGCGCCCCCAGGTTTCTCCGTCCTCCACCAGTCGCGGACTGTGGGCCGGGGGGGGAGGGGTGGCATTATTAATCCGGGAAGATTGTCCTTTCAGGGCTCTACCATCGCCATCGATCCCCGGCATTGAATGTGTTGGCCTAGTGTGGGGCTCTGAGGTGAGCTTGGCTGTCTGGCTGGTGTACCGGCCACCTAGCGCACCAGCAGCCACCCTGTCAGGCCTACTGGAGGCGGTGGCCGGCTGGGCCTTGGAGTTCCCTAACCTATTGGTATTGGGGGACTTCAACATCCATGCTGATGCCACTCCCTCCTCACAGGCTCTGGACCTGGTGTCTTCCATGGCAACACTAGGGCTCTCCCAGTTTGTTTCAGGCCCCACACATCAAGCAGGCCACACGCTGGATTTGATCTTTGGCGTAGGTATAGATGTGATCATGTCTCCTTCAATTAAGGTGCCATGGTCTGATCACTACGCTCTGAAAGCCAGGATTGACTTTCCACCCCCACCCTGCTTAGGTGGCGAGCCGATTTGGGCTCGCCCGCAGAGGCTGATGGACCCTGATAGATTCCGTCAAGCCTTGCGGGACCTTGCTCCCCTGGCGACTCATTGACTGAGCTTGTTGAGGGCTGGAATACCCAGCTCCTGGCAGCCATCGATGAGATCGCACCTAAGCGCCCTCTGCGACTCCGCAGAAACCGGGCTCCCTGGTTTACCGAGGAGCTTCGGAAAATGAAGCGGGCCCTCAGACGGCTAGAGCGAGTATGGCGGGGTGCCCGTGACGGAGCCTCAAGAACATCTTATAGGGTTTTTATGAAAACCTATGAGATGGCGGTGAAGGCCGCTAAGAAGTCTTACTTCTCGGCCTCCATTGCATCCGCTAGCTCTCGCCCGGCGCAATTATTTAGTATAATTAGGTCTTTAACGTCCCTTGAAGGACAGCCAAATTTAAATAACAATCTGACACACAGCTGTGAGGCATTTGCGAGCTTTTTTGCGGAGAAGGTCCTGTTGCTCCGCCATGACCTCCCTGCCAATTTGGATACAATAAAGGAACTGGAGGCCCCTCGACTGTCCTCGGGTCCAGTATTGGACCACTTTGATCGGATATCCCTAGCCGATGTGGACAGACTCCTCCGAGCTGGAAAGCCCACCACCTGTCCTCTTGACCCGTGCCCGTCTTGGCTGATTAGAGCGTGTCCAGACGAGGTGCGGGCCCCTGGGGATATCATCAATTTGTCCCTTGGCACCGGGATATTTCCAGGGGAATTGAAGGAGGCAGTGGTGCGCCCGCTCTTAAAGAAAACATCATTAGATCCCTTAGATCTATCCAATTACCGCCCGGTTTCGAATCTTCCATTCCTGGGTAAGGTGATTGAGAGAGCGGTTGCTGAACAGCTTGGTAGGTTTCTGGATGAAACATCGGCTCTGGATCCATTCCAGTCTGGCTTCCGCGCTGGTCATGGGACCGAGACGGCTCTGGTCGCCCTAACAGATGATCTCCGCAGGCAGCTGGATCGAGGCGGGTCGGGGCTGCTGATTCTTCTAGACCTGTCAGCAGCCTTCGACATGGTTGATCACGAACTCCTGGACCACCGCCTTGCCGACGTGGGGATCCAGGGCACAGTCCTTCAATGGCTGCGCTCATTTCTCTCCGGTCGGGGACAGAGGGTGGCGCTTGGGGGGGAATTGTCATCCCGCCACTCCTTGGTGTGTGGAGTGCCTCAGGGTGCGATACTCTCCCGATGCTTTTAACATCTTTATGCGCCCCTCGCCCAGCTTGTCCGGAGTTTTGGGCTGGGTTGCCATCAGTATGCCGATGACACCCAACTCTATCTGTTGATGGATGGCCATCCTGACTCGGCCCCAGACACACTGACCAGATGTTTGGAAGCTGTGGCTGGATGGTTACGCGGAAGCCGGTTGAAGTTAAATCCTTCGAAGACAGAGGTCCTCTGGCTGGGACGGGACGATATGGGATTGGGGGGGCAACTCCCATCTCTTGTGGGGTGCAATTAGTGCCAGCACCGTCCGTTAAGAGTTTGGGTGTAATCTTCGATACCTCCCTCTCTATGGAGGCGTAGATTACAGCTATAACAAAGGCGGCATTTTTCATCTCCGCCAAGCTAAGCAGTTGGCCCCTTATCTCTCTCGCCCTGACCTAGCCACTGTGATCCACGCGACGGTCACCTCCAGACTGGATTATTGTAACTCGCTCTACGTGGGGCTGCCCTTGAGACTGACCCAGAAACTCCAGCGGGTGCAGAATGCCGCGGCGAGACTCCTTATGGGGTCTTCGCTGCGAGATCACATTCATCCGGTACTATACCAGCTGCACTGGCTCCCGGTGGAGTACAGGATCAGGTTTAAGGTGCTGGTTTTAACCTTTAAAGCCCTATACGGCCTAGGACCCTCGTACCTACGGGACCGCCTCTCCTGGTATGCCCCACAGAGGAACCTACGGTCTGCAAATAAAAACATCCTGAAGGTCCCAGGCCTCAGAGAGGTTAGGCTGGCCTCAACTAGAGCCAGGGCTTTCTCGGCTGCGGCTCCAATCTGGTGGAACGCTCTGTCACAAGAGACTAGGGCCCTGCGGGACCTGACATCTTTCCGCAGGGCCTGCAAGACAGAGTTGTTCCACCAGGCCTTTGGTCAGGGCCCAGCCTGACTCCCACCTCCGGCAACCTGCACAGAACTTTGCTTAACGGTTGCCATTAATTTGATTTTAATTAATTTTATAATGAAATGTTTTAGAATGTTGGATTATTTGATTGTTTGATTATTTGTTTGTTGTTAGCCGCCCTGAGCCTGGCTTTGGCTGGGGAGGGCGGGATATAAATAAAATTTATTATTATTATTATTATTATTTTGGGTAGGACTATTTATAAGCTATGGATAATGATCTGTCTCACTTTCTGACACCTTTCTAGAAAGCTGTGCAGTATTGCCAACCACCCTACCTTCTCCTTCCACTCCAACTGAGTACTGTCCGGACGGCTGGATTGGCTACCAAAGGAAATGTTACTATTTTTCGGACAGTGACAGAAATTGGACTTCTAGCCAGAATTACTGTGCCTCTTTCAATGCCTCTTTGGTCGTGATTGACTCCCAAGAAGAGATGGTGAGTGGAAAGATACAGAGCACAGTCTGCAGCCCCAAATGGAGTTGATTCTACACTTGGATGAGGGGTGGAAATGTATTGACACTTCTTTTCTTTATTAAGAGCTTCTTGAGACGATACAAAGGTCCTGCTGACCACTGGATTGGTCTCCAAAGGATGGATGACCAGGATCCTTGGAAATGGATCAATGGCACCATTTTCAATAAACGGTGAGATCTCCCTCCCCCCCCATTGTGTGTCAAGAAATAAAAGTCAAAAGTCCAGAAACTAGAAATTTGACAGAACCAGCCATTTAAATGTCCGGGCTATGCAGCATGTTTTGCTTTTGAAAAACTCTCTCTCTCTCTCTCTCTCTCTCTCTCTCTCTCTCTCTCTCTCTCTCTCACACACACACACACACACACACACACACACTTTTGAATTTATTCGGGAGGGTGGACATAGCTACAGTGGTGGGGGCCTAGGGGCAGGGGGCCAGGATTTTGCCCCGGATGAAGCCTTCATAGGGGTGCCATTGAGTCACCCAGCCTGAGTGTGTGTCAATATCTCCACTCTTCTTCTGAAGTCAGGGGTTTTTATACCATTTGCTGAAGCCCTGAGCCAAGATCACATAGTCTAAAATGTAAATGTATTAAATTAATATAAATGAAGCTGCCTTCTGCAGTTTTCTTCAGGTGAAAATTAGCTTCCAGGGCTTCCTGTACATACATTGGGGGATCTCTTTTCAGGTACATACCTTGGGGGGTCTCTTTTCAGGTACATACATTGGGGGGGGTCGCTTTTCAGTTGCATGGTCTTATACTTGTTTTTAGGGATACCATTTCTACATTCTGTTGCTTTTTAGGTTTGAAATCTGGGGAGGAGGAACATGTGCTTACTTGAACCATCTGGGTGTTGCTAGCGGCAGCAGAGGAAGCGAAGAACGCTGGATCTGCAGCAAACCAGTTGGTAAATGAGAAACAGCATAGGCTTCTAAGTCGTGCAGATCACTCAATGAGCTATGCATAATGGGCTGGCCCCCTGTAGCCTCCACAACCAAAGAGAGTGATTAGGCTGTCCACCCTAGCTATTGAATCTGTGGGTGTTGATGGAGGAAAAACCTTACTTGATTTCGTTGGGTGGTCCAGATTTTGGGTTTGGTGCAGATTTGCATTTTCCTGGGCAATGTTGGGAGAGAGAGACAGGAAACATGTCCCTGCGTGATGTGATACAGCTCCTCTTCTCTTTTGTATCTGCAGGTGTGGCAGTGTAAGTGCTAGTCTGGCCCTGCTTCTGTAATGGACTGGGTAAGAACCAATAAACTGAAGCTTAATCCAGATAAGATGGAGGCACCGTTAGAGGGCTGGATGGATGGTTGCCTTCTCTTAATGGGACCGCAGACAGTCTGGGAATCAGCATGTTTTTACAGGAGTAGAATGTGTGCTTTTATTTAAAATGCATCTCTGGGTTATTTGTGGGGCATAGGAATCCGTTCATTTCCTGCCCCCCACCCCCAAAATATAGTCCGGCCCCCCACAAGGTCTAAGGGACAGTGGACTGGACCCCTGCTGAAAAAGTTTGCTGACCCCTGTAATATTTCCCGCTTGGACTACTGCAATGCACCCTACGTGGGGCTACCTTTGAAGGTGACCCAGGAACTACAGTTAATCCAGAAGGCGGCAGCTAGACTGGTGACTGGGAGTGGCCGCTGGGACCACATAACACCGGTTCTGAGAGATCTGCATTGGTTCCCAGTACGTTTCCAAGCACAATTCAAAGTGTTGGTGCTGACCTTTAAAGCCCTAAACAGCCTCGGCCGCCCCCATCGTTTAGGGGGTGAAGGTCCAGCTCCAAGGGCCTTCTTGTTAGGATATTTCCATTCCACCTTAAAAGGGAGCAGGCTGTGAGTCACAGAGTCTGCGTATTTCCTGTTCACAGGATATTTATGTTTGCTATTGTTTTCGTTTCTCTCTGTGTCCTAGACACTAAAGCAGGCAGTCATGTTTTTCTGTGTTCTGATCAACGCTGAATAAACTTGTAAATAATGCTCTCCTGAGTGCAACTTTTGGCTGCGCATTATCTGCTGATAGAGTGTGCATGAGCTCTGGAATGTGGCAAGATATTTTCTAGAAACTCATGCCGCTAATTGCTGATACTGCGTGCCTACGGGAGGTCGATGGATCGTCCGGCAGATGGCTTGGGGGCCATGATGGACTTTATCTCCCTGGCAGTATCCCAACACTTCTGGCAGTTCCCTCCCTGCGCAAAGTGAGGTTACAGGAAACCAGGCAGAAGGCCTTTTCAGTAGTGCTGCCTGCCCTCCCATCAGATGTCAAGGAAATAAATATCTGACTTTTAGAAGACAGTGGCTCCCCATTTGTAGAATGCTTTCCCCGGGAGGTTCAGCTGGTGCCTTAAAGGGAAATCTTCAATTAACAAGATCACCCAGTAGTGCCACAATGCTATCCTATGGGAAACTTCAGATAATCACTAAAAACCAGCCGTTTCACTTATCTTCCTCATTTCAATGGTGCTTTACTCTTCTCAGGGAGGAGGAGGGGAGGGGACAGGTGTCAGACCAGATATTACCAGTCAAGATAAGGAGGGCAGGTAGGGTGAGGAAGGTGTTATCAGAATCACAAAACCCCACGTGAAAAATCCATCTCCAGAATGGAATGCAACCTGGCCTGAACAAATAAAGAATGGAAATGGTTCATTGAATATTTACAAACAAACTGTAAACAGATAAGAACATTGGCAGGATTGTTGTAATAACCTGCAGTTTTATAAGAGTATATATTAAAAGTAGATGAATAAATGTGTAAAGTAAGTTAATTTGGAGATGAATAAAATATTAAAAATAAATTTAAGGAACCGCAGAAGGAAGGGGAAGGAAGTCAAGTTCTGAAATGTTCAAATGATTGTAAAATTATTGACTTGTATAAAATTGAAACTCATTAATAAAATAAAATAAAAGATAAAGATAAACATTTTTTTAAAAAGACACCACTCCTATGGTGTGTGCAATGTTTTGATGACACTGTGTGAAATGTGTTATGGGAAAATTTGAGAACTTTAAAAATCTCAGGTAACCTGTGTTCAGGGCTCTGTCTTTTTGCTTGCCTTAAAGGTTGGAACCTTTGTTGCAACAAATAAAGATCAGGCCTATTGGCTGCTGATTTGCTTCTTCATTGCTTGGCTGAAGTCTCTTATTTTCTCTGACTGATACAGACTTCGCAGGGCTAGACTCTAGCGAAGTTGGGAAATGGTTTAAGTAGTGTACCCCAATTTTGGGATGTGAAGGGGGAAATACAAACTGCAGAGGAATTCCTGGGTTAGCCTTTGGGAAACGACCTGTTCAAGCTAGGGCCATTAAGGATCAACAGAGGGCCAGGAGGAAGCAGACAAGGATGTCCACTTCCCCCTTTGCTCTTTAAAATGTGTTTAGAACCCCTGGCATTAGATAGCATTGTGAGATTCATGAAGGAGTTGAATATGCTTATTTCAAAGCCTCATTCTAGTATTCCTAATTTGATGAAAGCAACGGATGATTTGGGTAAAATATTAGGACACTCAATTAATTGGTCCAAATTGGAATGGTTGCCTATAGGTGAAAATCTAATTACATATTTTTCGCTCCATAAGACTCACTTTTTCTCTCAAAAGTAAGGGGGAAATGTGTGTGCGTCTTATGGAGCGAATGCAGGCTGCGCAGCTATCACAGAAGCCAGAACAGCAAGAGGGATTTCTGCTTTCACTGCGCAGTGATCCGTCTTGCTGTTCTGGCTTCTGAGATTCAGAATATTTTTTTTCTTGTTTTCCTCCTCCAAAAACTAGGTGCGTCTTGTGGTCTGGTGTGTCTTTTAGAGAGTGAAAGTGAATTTTGTGCCCATTAGGATTCCACAGTGACCTATATTTTAAAAAAATATTCCCTGGAGAGGGGAAAAGAGGTACAATATATAATTTTTACCTGAGGGCTTGCTCTGGTATTGGTTGCAGAGGCTGCGTCTTAGGAAAGCCTGAAACTTGTCTAAACAGAGATTGCATCTGCCAGCATTTACTCTGGTTTCTCCTTTCTCAGTTTTCAACTGCAAAGCTACTCCTCACCAAACAAACAAACACACACATTTATTTAAATAAATAAGCATCATGTTAAGGCACATAATCAAAATATGGAGGCCCAGAAATGGAAAAAGAATATGGATACAATTAGACAAAAATAACTCTCCACAGTGTTGGAGAAACAGTGGTAATGATGGAACACTTATACATATAGATGCCCACAGATTAAAAACTTTTGGTTAAAAGTTAACTTTTGGTTAAAAGTATTTCAGGATAGGGAACAAATTACATTTCAATCGATTGCTTCAGATCCCAAATGACACCACAGTCGTACCTTGGATACCAAATACCTTGGTACTCGGACGTTTTGGCTCCCAAACGCCGCAAACCCGGAAGGGAATGTTCCGGTTAGTAAACATTCTTTGGAACCCAAACGTCTGATGGGGCATCTGCAGCTTCTGATTGGCTGCAGAATCTTCCTGCAGCCAATCAAAAGCTGCGCTTTGGTTTCTGAACATTTTGGAAGTCAAACAGACTTCTGGAACGGATTCCATTTGACTTCCAAGGTACAACTGTACTTTCACTATTTGTGGATGAAGCACACAGAGTTTAAAAACAAGAATACCGCATATATAGAATCAATTCAAATACAAGAGAGATAACGACTGGGACATTAGAAGATTATATATTAACAGGTAGTCTTATTTTTAACGTGTGATAATATGCTCTAATTTCCCCCATTTTAAATTCCTTGAGGGATTTTATCCCACTGCTTGGTAAGCTGCTGGATAATTCTACTGAATCTCGGAGACTCTGGGGTTGATAGTCAGGAGTCTCGTCTTCTGCTGCTGTTCTGAGAGCTGCCATACTGGGCCAGACCAAATGTTTATAACCTGCTGACTGGGCTGGAGCTGATGGAAGATGTTAGACAATTATTCTGTATGTGCTTTTATTGTACGGTAAGCCACTTCAAGTGGAATTAACTGTGGAAGGGATGCTGGTGGTGCTGTGGGTTAAACCACAGAGCCTAGGACTTGCTGATCAGAAGGTCGGCGGTTCGAATCCCTGCGACGGGGTGAGCTCCTGTTGCTTGGTGCCAGCTCCTGCCAACCTAGCAGTTTGAAAGCACATCAAAGTGCAAGTAGATAAATAGGTACTGCTCCGGTGGGAAGGTAAACAGTGTTTCCGTGCACTGCTCTGGTTCGCCAGAAGCGGCTTAGTCATGCTGGCCACATGACCTGTACGCCGGCTCCCTTGGCCAATAAAGCGAGATGAGCGCCGCAACCCCAGAGTCGACCATGACTGGACCTAACGGTCAGGGGTCCCTTTACCTTTACCTAAACTGTATTTTGGGTTCAAAGCTTGATGTTTACTGATTAATGAGTTTGAAACAGCTTTTTCAGGCTCCCGGCTAAGTTGATCTTTAGGCTGTTTGTTCCACATTGAGGCAGAAGTCAAGGATCCCACTCAGCAGAAGCAGAAGTGATAAGATCGTAGTTAAAACAAAATAAAAAATTCATTCCAGTGGCACTTTAGAGACCAGCTACGTTTGTTATTGGTATGAGCTTTCGTGTGCATGCACACTTCTTCAGATAGTAGTTAGTACACATTGCCATTTAAGAACAGGTGTCCCATTAAGACCTTCAAGTCCAAAGGCAATAATCTTCCACTTTCTTCATTGTTCAACCTTTTACAACCTTCTGTGTTCTTGTTAATGTTGAGTCTTATCAGCTCACCTTCAGACTGTGAGGGAAATAGATGACTAATTGCTGTAGGGTCAGTTCCCTTTGTGGGCGGGGAGGGGATGGCAGAGAAGCAGGAGGGGGAGGGGGTGGAGCTGAACGCAGCAACCGCAAGGCTTCAACGACCAGCGGTTCTCCTGCCGCTATCATTGGCGGGAGTCTACTTTGACCCTCCTTCCCCTCCCTGGCAGGAAGAGGACGAGAAGGAGAGCTAGCCAGAGAGCAAAAAGAATTTCTATGCGATTTTTGCATAGCGTTTTTTTCTTTTGAAGAAAAGACAAGGAAGAATAGACATAAGAGGTGTTTATAAAATTACAGTCTTTGTGCCAAGGGAACTTCCACCCTTTTAGTTCTGACTTCCCCTGTTGGCTTCAAATCAGCTAACAGAATTTCTAGAAAATGAGTTTTAGTAGCAGCTGCTGGCAACAAGCCTATATAGTCAAGTTTGGTGCCAGCTAAAAACATTCTTGTGTACAAAAGCCTACCAGTTGTTTAGAAAGTATGATGTAATTATAATCTGCTTTAATATTTTTACTTTTGTATGTTTTAAATAAGGGTTGTGTTTTTTCTCACTTTTTTAAAATCTTTTTGTAAATCGCTCTGAGGTTTTTCACAATCAATTGTTATACGAATTATATGATTCCCAGGTCGGGGAAGGCAGAGACTCTTCTGTGCATGATTAGGTTAGGTTTGTTACTTTCAAAAAATAATGAATTCTTATTGCTTTCTGCTACTTAACCATTTTTTATGGAGCAGATTTTGGGCACCTAAACACTTGCCATCTTTTGTGAAACCTTGCATTGGCTGCCTCCCAAACATTAAGATCTTTCATTATTTTTAAAACCTCATTGTCTTTTGCATTCCTCCCTCAAGAGGCTACATAAAATTATAGAAACCAATGCTCTTTTCAACTTTCCACAGGCATTTTCCTGCCACTATAACACTTTTAATTTTCTTTTACTATAATACCTACCTTGCTGCAAGCAAGCTTGTCACTTGTTAGTCTCAAACTCAGCAATCGCCAAGTTGCCAGCAGCTGTTTCTCCTTCTGCACATTGAGGGTGATCACATTCCCCAAAGGGAGGTTCTGCCCTTTGTTTGTGGGGTTGATTTTAAATCATGCTAAAAATTCTTTTACACTTGTGCCCAAGAATGCATCCAGCCCCTGACAGGATTGCACTGTTCTCTGAAGTAGGGCAGAAGACCTTGGGCAATTGAAAACATCTCTAGATTCAGGCTGGGGGTGACATTAAAGGCTGGGTGGGGCTGGAGTCAGAAAGGGAGAGGAGGAGGAGGGGCCAATATAAATAGCAGGAACCAGTCGTTTTGAAAACAGTTTCTATCTTGCTTCTTGTGGGCTTGGTAGGCAGCAGATACTTGTTCCTACACTGCAGAACCTGGCAGTGGATTGATTCTGCCAGAAGGTAAAAAGAATTCTATAATATATTGGAGGAGGGAGAAATATTGGGAGGGGGAGGAAAGGGAGATGGGGAGATGGGGAGGGAGACTGGGGAAAGGAGAAGGAGAGGAGGTAGGGGAGAGGGCTTGGGGCTGAAGAAAAACATTTCTAAAATAATATAAGCAGTGCTCTTTTTCTAAAAAAATATTTAGGGTTCTCTCTCATTTTGACTCAAGAAAAGCACCAATTTATAGTTGAAATCGGGGGAAATAAATACAGTAACAGGGCAGGACAGAGAAGACTTATTCCAAAAGGTGGCTTTTTGTTTTTATTGTTTTAAGGAAACCCAGAGGGGAAAGCACAAATCCTCAGACCAAAATTTGTGGTTCTGCCAAAATAGAAAAAAATCTCCCCTGAATCGCGGGGGGTCTTTGGGGCGGGGGAGGAAAGGGAGAGGGAGATTGGGGAAAGGAGGAGGGGAGGAGGAAGAGTTGACGGCTGAAGAAAAAACATTTCTACAATAATATAAGGACGGCTTTGTTTGATTGGGGAGACTCCTAGAATCCCTCTGGGGGTCGTGAGGGAGGAGAGGGGGAGAATGTTCCCTTGTGCTGACAGAAGGTTCTCTTGGCACTGCTAGGAATACCACCCAAAGCTCTCACCCCCTCATTCAATATAGTGGTGAACCTAAAAAAGGGTTCGGAGAAAAGTGGAAGAAATTTGCAGAAATATAAGCCTCTCTGGATTAAGCCTGCCAAATTTTAGGCAGATCCGTTTGGAGGTTTTTGTGCCGGACACCTTTATTAAAGTGGGTCAGACCTCACTATTGTGGGTGGACATAGAAGACGACACAGAGATTTCTCCAAGTGGTTCTTTATAGTAAGCTGGAACTGAACTGACCTGAACAGCTCAGCCGGCCTGCTTTTATAGGCAGCCGGCTGTCAACATTGTAAAAACAACAGCCCAGGGTTTCCGGCCTAAACTAACTGACATAGACCTGAGTGAAAACTATATACACAATACCCCCTGGTGGCCAGGGTGAGAACTTCAATACATAACGCACATAACTGTGTCCATTTCTGGGCACCACCATTTAAGGAGGATGTTGACAAACTGGAACGTGTGCAGAGGAGGGAGGACTGGCGGAGGAAGATGCATGCATGTGGCGTGCATTGCCCCCGGGACGCACGCCAGCCCCTCCCCCACCTGCTCTCTGTCCCCTGGTGCCGCTCTGCCACTGGGAGACCCTTTTTCATAAGGCTTGGAAACCAAGGTTAATGAGGCGGAGGAGCTGGCTATGTCTAGCCTGGGAAAGAGGAGACTGAGGGGAGATATGGTAGCCATTTTCAAATATCTCAGGGGCTGCTCTCTCTCTTTTTCTCAATGCCAGGCCAGTGGGTGGTCCTATATTTGCATAGTAGTTTCCCAATTAGATATTGTTGTAAGTTTAGCGGAGGAGATGGGGGGGGTAGGCTGCATGCCTGAGACCTGGCTAATTCCTAGATCCAGCAAGGGCTAAAATCTTGGTAATGGCCACTTAAGTATGGGTCAGGAGCGTGGTGGAGTCAAGCGAGGAAGGAGATGGAAGAAAGACAGGCTCTGACTCTGAACCTGACAGGCTGCAGGAGGAAGCAGACCCAGCCCCCCCCTTTCCTACCAAGATATTGGTTTCCTGAGACAGTTTGAGCAAGTTTCCAAGAAGGGGGCATAGATGCTAGGCAACCAGATAGGCAGAGGATTGACAGCTCTTCTCTGGAAAGCGTAGAATTTCCTGACCCTCAATCCTGAAGAGCTGAAGTGGTGAGATTGCAAAGGAAGTGGAAAAGGGGAAAACAGGTTTTCCTGTTGTGACTACAATGATGACTCCTCGTAACCAACTGTGTCCATTTCTGGACATTGCAATTTTAGGAGGGTGTTGACAAACTGGAACGTGTCCAGAGGAGAGTGATATTTCCTCATAAGGCTTAGGAGGAGGAGGAGCTGGGTAGGAGGAGACTGGGGGGGAAATATAATACAAAAGCCATCTTCAACTATCTCAGGGGCTGCTCCCTTTCACTTGTCTCAATGCTTTCATTTCATCAAGTAGATGTAGAAATATTACTGTAATAATTTAGACTAAAAAGAAACAATATTTCATATATGAATTTTCCAGTTCTGTAAATTAGTATATCTAAGACCACCTTTTGGGCTTTTGTGGGGAGACTAGACTAATATGGAAGCAAAACTGCACCTTTTAAAGACTTCAAGGAGAGATGATTTATTTCTCTGCTCTGTAATTTTGTCTCCACAGAGGAATCTTGGGACATTGATGCTTTGGCAAAAATCTGATGCTGTGATGAATTTTTTTCTGGCAAAAGGGCAGAACTGATGCTTCAGACTCTGAAGAGGCTTTCATTTTATAAGGAATAAAAGGAGTCAGGAAGACAAAACAGGGAAGTGGAAAACTTATTAAGTACAGCTTGGCTGGACAAAGTATCCGATTAAAGCACACAATTAAGTGGTATTTAAAAAGGGTGTTTTCTCACCACATCATGATCTGCTTTGAACATATCTCAAGAAATTGCAAAACTCTGTGTAACTGAGTAGCATTTATTGTGCGGTCTGTGGATCCTCCTGGGAGAAAGAAAAGATGTGTCTCTCTGAAACTGAAAAGACAGAGCGAAGGCTCCCCATGAATCCAGTTGCAGCAGGGAATTGGGAACGTCAGAGAAGCATAAGTAATGGAAGCACCGAACAAGCAGGAGAACTCTTCTCTCCGAAACCAGGCCATTTTCCATACGGTAAGTGAGTTCTGATGAGAAAGGCATGAGTTTGTCAGAAAAGTTATGGATTTGCTGCTGGGATGAGAGCTGCAGAATGCAGGCCAACTAATCAAATTCATGGGGATGCTAATTTATTCGGGCAATTAAAAGCCATTGGAAAAGGATGGCTACATAGACACTCGTGTGAAAATTGAGGAATGCTTCTCAGACTCTTCTTAGTTCCTCTCTCAGATGGAACTATCCTTGCTCACGCAGGCATGCATCAGGAGAAGGGTGTGAGGCTGCCCTTGAGGAGAGAGATTCCTGGCTGTTCTTCCTTTTCCCCTTCCATGTACAGCAAGAATGGAGAGCTTGTCTCTCGCCAGATGTTGCTGGATTCCAACTCCCTCCCATCACTCTCTGCCAGCATGGCCAATGTAGACCGAAACATCTGGAAGATCACACGGTCCCCATTCCTGCTGCACACAGACCTAGAGAGTCTCAGATAAGCGAAGAGACCAGGAATCTGCAAGTGCAGGCGCATGGTCCACAGCATTGACTAGCACAGCGGCACTTTAATGCGTTGTTGTTGTTGTTATATGATGCCCATCTGATTGGGTTGAATGGTATACATTACAGTAGACCATACTGAAATTTATATTTGAGTGGGTGATTTATATATATATTTTAAAAATAAATAAAATAAAATTCTCAGCAAATCTAGAAGCAACCAATACTGTGCAAATCCCCTGGCAGAGAACCCCTGTAAGACTGGCTTCACACTATTTCAGAACATATCTTTCAAAACATATTGGTTCCTTTCTTCAAGGATCCCAATTTGACCAACCAAGTGTTGCCATGTTTACATGCTGGTGACATGGCATTAACTTAAATATATATATATATATATATATATATATATATATGCTGAAAGCAGCCACTCAGAGCTGCATATTGCTGACGAACCACTTTGCTGGCTAGTCCTTACATTTGGACCTGGTTTTCTTTAAGTGTCAGTTATGCCATCCTCACCATATAATTAATATAGCAACCTTAGTAAATCTGCTAATCCTGGTCCATGAACTACGAACTGCTATTTTGACTTATTTGGGTGAGGCAAGCTTGAAAATTCACTATCCTGTATTGAATGAATAAAGCTTCTTTTAGCACAGGAAAATGTTCTTTGGTTGAACAATTCATTTTAATGCATTTTGTTTTGCACATTAATGGATCTACCTGTGATGTGTTGGAACCAACCCTATGTTATACAGAAATGTGCAAGGGCTTAAACTGTATCCCCTTAATGGTTTGTTTTACAATAAAGATTAAAATGGCTTCAGGTTATTCGCTTGAGGTTGCTGCGATGCGTGAACAAAATATCCCATTCTGTTTCTACATAGGACAGAGATCTCCTGTCACTTCCATGCTGCCAGCAAAACCTTTCAACTTCTGTTTTGAGGGCAATTCAGATGCTCTAAAAGGGATGGGTAACCTTTAAAATTAAGGGGGGGGGAGAGAAAAAATGCTCGCTCCAAGCCCATTTTTGTAAGGTCGCGAATATAAGCTGCACTTTAACTTTTCATGGTCAGAATTTGGAAAAAAAGAGAGGCTTATATTCAGGCCTATACGGTAAACATTATTGTGCATCACCTTGATAGTTTAGGAGATGGTGGCATGTGAATACTTTTTAATAAAATAAACAACTGGTGACTCACCAGCCATGCGCAGAGGCCTATCAGTTGGCTGACTTTGTGGTGGGAGGCACCAAACCAATGAGCTTCATGATGCCACAGGTGAACTTGGTTCATCTCATACCCTTCAAACATCCCACTGACCAAAATTGGGACGTTTCTTTTTTTGGTCCCCAGTTGACTTGCACTACAAGTCAGACTCAGACCAAAAATGGGACATTCCGGGACGCAATCAGGAGCCAGGATTGGCTTCTGTAATTCCAAGATGTCCCGCATAAATCAGGACTGTTGAGTGGTATGACATCTTGGTGTGATGCAACCTTGAACTCACACCTTCAATGTGGGTGGACAACCCAAGCCTGGGTAGACTTGGAATCCCCAGATACTTTGGAGTTTCTAGAAGGACTTGTCCGGCATCTTGCTGAAACCAAGGACACATTAACACTTTATTTCCCTCTGCAGGTTTGAGCAATAATGGAGAAAAGAAACTCGCTTTTTCTGTAATGATTTTGAGCTTGGTGCTTAATGTCATTCTGATCATTTCCATCATCATCAGCAGCAGCACTGGTTTATCAGGTAAGTGAAGAGCCATTTTGCTGTAACTGTTGCCATTTTATCTATAGGCCACATGCTCTCACAGATCTCCTCTCCTCAGCAGCTAGAATAGCTTTATCGGTGTTCAGTTGAGGTAGCCTGGAAGCAGTTGTGGATAGGGGCCCACATTCAGGCAAGGCAGACTTCATGTACTGTAATAATAGACCAATATGCACAAACAATATACACACAAAATAAGCACACTATTTCAAGTGATTTAAATTGTACGATACAATTCTAATCAAAGGCCTATCTCAGGGAGAGTCAACTAGACCCTGGTTGTGTATTTCATGGATAGTCAATTGAGGTCGACTATCTATGGTTGAGCCACAAGAGAAGCTGCTCTATGTCCTGCAAGCTCCTGAGTTTTTGGACAGAGATGGGCACTGGGCTGTCTGCCCTCCCTCCTACCCTCATTTCCCCACCCTTATCCAGCCCCACATGGAGATGATGGGGGTTGACCAGAGACCTCCTGCACACAGTTTTTGTGTGTGGTGTATTTGCAATTACGTTGTTATACTGTATTTTTATGTGATGGTTCTTATGATGCTTGAGATGTGTTCCCATTTTCTTTGTTGCAAGCTGCTTTGAGCAGGATTCCTTTTGTGGAAAGGCAGCACACAGATATAATATTGATGAGTGGAGTACATTGCCTGACCTTTATTTTGGGTAGGACTATTTATAAGCTATGGATAATGATCTGTCTCACTTTCTGATGCCTTTCTAGGGAGAAGCGCAGTATTGCCACCTGCCCTACCTTCTCCTTGCACTTCAACTGAGTACTGTCCGGACGGCTGGATTGGCTACCAAAGGAAATGCTACTATTTTTCGGACAGTGACAGAAACTGGACATATAGCCAGAATTACTGTGCCTCTTTCAACGCCTCTTTGGTCGTGATTGACTCCCAAGAAGAGAAGGTGAGTGGAAAGTCTGAAGCCTTAAATGGAGTTGATTTTCCACTTGGATGATAGTTGAAAATGTATTCATACTTCCTTTCTTTATTAAGATCTTCTTGAGACGGTACAAAGGTCATTTTGACCACTGGATTGGTCTCCAAAGGATGAAAGACCAGGAACCTTGGAAATGGATCGATGGCACCATTTTCAAGAAATGGTGAGATCTCACCCCCCCCCCCCCCCGCGTTGTGTGTCAATAAATAAATGTCAAAAGTCCAGAAACTAGAAATTTGACAGAACCAGCCATTTAAATGTCCGGGCTATGCAGCATGTTTTGCTTTTGAAAATCTCTCTCTCTCTCTCTCTCCCCCACACACACACTTTTCAGGAGAAAGGACAAAGACATAGCTACAGTGGGGGGAGCCTGGGGGCAGGGGGTGGCTAGCCAGGATTTTGCCCCGGGTGAAGCCTTCATAGGGGTGCCATTGAGTCACCCAGCCTGAGTGTGTGTCGATATTTCCACTCCTCTTCTGAAGTCAGGGTTTTTATACCATTTGCTGAGGCCCTGAGCCAAGATCACATAGTCTAAAATGTAAATGTATTAAAGTAATATAAATGAAGCTGCCTTCTGCAGTTTTCTTCAGGTGAAAATTAGCTTCCAGGGTTCCCTGTACATACATTGGGGGGTCTCTTTTCAGGTACATACCTTGGGGGGTCTCTTTTCAGTTGCATGGTCTTATACTTGTTCTTAGGGATACCATTTCTACATTCTGTTGCTTTTTAGGTTTGAAATCTGGGGAGGAGGAACATATGCTTACTTGAACCATCTGGGTGTTGCTAGCGGCAGCAGAGGAAGCGAAGAACGCTGGATCTGCAGCAAACCAGTTGGTAAATGAGAAACAGCATAGGCTTCTAAGTCGTGCAGATCACCTCAATGAGCTATGCATAATGGGCTGGCCCCCTGTAGCCTCCACAACCAAAGAGAGTGATTAGGCTGTCCACCCTAGCTATTGAATCTGTGGGTGTAGATGGAGGAAAAACCTTACTTGATTTCGTTGGGTGGTCCAGATTTTGGGTTTGGTGCAGATTTGCGTTTTCCGGGGCAATGTTGGGAGGGAGAGACCGGACACTTGTCCCTGCGTGATGCGATACAGCTCCTCTTCTCTTTTGTATCTGCAGGTGTGGCAGTGTAAGTGCTAGTCTGGCCCTGCTTCTGTAATGGACTGGGTGAGAACCAATAAACTGAAGCTTAATCCAGATAAGATGGAGGCACCGTTAGAGGGCTGGATGGATGGTTGCCTTCTCTTAATGGGACCGCAGACAGTCTGGGAATCAGCATGTTTTTACAGGAGTAGAATGTGTGCTTTTATTTAAAATGCATCTCTGGGTTATTTGTGGGGCATAG